GCCAGGATGGATGCTGAGGAAGTTGAATTCCATTATTTCTTGTACTGTGTTCGGCATTTTATATTTTGTTGGTTTATTCTTTTAAAAGATAAAATTCCAACAAAACAGTTGACCAGTCAGTCTTATACTGGGTGCATAAAAACCGACTTTTTAAATACCGAAGATAACTTTTTATTAAATCGTTTTGTTTAGGTATTAGTAATTTTATTATAAACCATTTAGATAGCAGTGACTTTATTTGAAAAGCTAAATATTGCATGGGAGAATTTCAGTACTCAGTTTCTCCAGTGTCCTGTTTATACCTAATAAAAGCAGTGGGGAAAATTATTTTTTTCTTTAATGTTTGGACAACTAAAAGCAGACTAGAAATCTTTGAAATGATATTTTCCTTTGTAGACCTAGTCTCTGTGGTCCATTAATACCTGCTAATAATTTGTGTTAAAATGATCTTAAAAATCATTCTATGTCCAGCACAATACATTGCCCTCTTAAATTGCAAAGACAGTATTTTTGCAGCTGTGGGACTGCAGCTTTTTAATATTTGCACAATTTTCTTTTCCTGAGAGAAGTAAAATATTGCTCTTGATGTTAGTATTTGATGATGCGCTCTCCCATTGAGGTGTTAGTCTACATATTTGTAGATAAAAAGGGACTTCATAAATTGCAAAGAACTACACAAATGTAAGGTGCCATTATAATTTATTTTATTGTCACATAGAAGCTTAGCCAAAAAAAAAATCTCGCATTTCTTTAAACATTGAAAAAGGATCACGAGAAAGAAATGCTTCCAATAGGAATGCTGGTCAGTGGTTGTCAGTTTAGGACATTCTTCACTGTCAAATCCTGTTTCTCACTTCTTTGATATGAACATCAGCTGACAGGCACTGAATGCAAAGCCTTCTTCACTGAGGTTTTATGTAGGCAACATAGCCCTTCATAGCAAAGCAGTCTGAAAAATTGGCACCTGCAGGATTTGCATGTGAAAAAAACTGAGTCAGTTGCATTTTGCTGGAGTCTATTACTGTAAGTTATGTAAGTTCAGTGAGAAAGGCTATTTATTTGTTGCTGTTTGGGCATTTAAAGGTTCTTTGTTTTATGGACACCTTATTCATCATATAGTGATCCACAGACTTTATTGATAGCAGAAGCAGGGAGAAGTGAGCTCTGGCTTTATGGAAGTTATTTATTATGGAATGGAGGTGCTTTTAACCATGTGCTTGCAGAGTGCACTTACATTCATAATTTTTAAAATGTGCCTTAAAAGAAGGAATTCATTCCACTTTGAGAGTCACCTATCAGAAGTTAAATGCATAAAACTAAGTTAACATACATATCCTTTGAAAATAATCAAGAATTTTGATTTCTATATGTTAATAACAACTTAAAATCTATATGAAAAGAATTTAAACCCTTTTTCTAAATTTGGGAAAAATGTTGTTTCCCCCAAATTGTTAAATTATGTTTGTCACCTGGATGCCTTTTAAAAATCCTATTTATGTAAAATAACTAACAAATATTCAGTCAACTAAAACACCTCTGTGAACCTGAGTATTATCTGTCAGTGGGAACATTTTATCCAGAATAAGCTATTTATTATTATCTAGAGACACCTTCCAACTTCATTTTTTTTCCACAGCCATTAATATAAGAGTTCCTAAATAATGTTTAAAGAACAGTGAACATTTTATTAAAGCAAACATTAGTTCAGTTTAATGGAGGTAATTGTAAGTGATGAGACAGAGCAGGTTATCTCTGTGTTGTTTAAACAGAAGGAGCTACTTTGCACCATTTCCAGTAGCCATCTGTAGAAGAGAAGGGTTTGCACCTGTCTGTCCAGACTAATTATAGATTAGGGCCAAAGAAATGAAATTCGAGGAGGTTTTCAGCTAATGAAATCCATACTGATTTTATTGTAAATGTGTTTTATGTAAAGAGGGTGATGGTTGAGTTCTGAGTGAATAAATCGCTATGTAGCTGCTAGGCACTTGGTTTTGAAGCACAATTCTGCTGCATTAACCTTTGATATTAAAAAAAAAAAAAAGACAAACAACTTAGACGTGGATGCTAGCCTTTGTTTGGCATCCATAGCTACAATTTTAGTGAGCAGCAGTGAGGTTCAGTGTGCAGTTTAGAAATGTGCTGTATAAAGCAGCTTAAACATTAAGAATATTATGATATTCTGAAATGCAGATGAAGTAGAAGGTAGGTTCTGTTTTAGCTTATGCATATAAAACATTGGAAAATTGGAAAGGCTTTTTCTTTTTCCTACATTTCAGCTTCGTATACATGAGAAATTAAAGCAAAATGAGTGAAGAATGCATTCTGCTATAAAAGGTCACATGAATGTCTACCACATCTGTTTATAGTAATTATGAACATAATTAACATAAGAATTACAAATGAAATAATGACAAGCTGAGCAAGGAGATATTATGCCATAATGGTCATATGTTGGAATTCTCACATTATAGCACACTAGAATTCACATACTCAAAGAAAGAAAGAAAATGCTAGATTTTTATCTGAATTAATGCTTCAAAACTTATCTGCCTGGGGCAGATGGACTTCTTGCTTTTATAGGAAGGTAACTATTATTAAGAAAAGAACTAGTTGAAATTAAGATTTCTAGTCTGTAGCCTGGACTTTAAGACAGCTGTGATTATAGAAATCACTTTCTGTTGTACACTTCTGTGATTATACTTCTTGATTATTGTATTGCTTTTTTTTTTTTTTTTCTTTCAATTGAAAGCTTTGCAGCAAAGTGTTTGCTTTGGAAGAGAGTCATGGATTCTTCCCATTTGAGAATTGGTTGATCTTTTCTATAACTGTGAGCCAAAAGTCAATGAACAAACAAGGTACTAACAGAAATACTGTGCATTTATAAAATAAGACCATTGGCAGATTAGCTTTTGTACAGATTAGCCTCTAGTATTTGGGATGCCCCTTAAAAAAATAGCAAACCTTTTCTGGGTTTGAAAGCGGTAGTAATGCAATTTTATTTTTAAAATAGCATTTCTTAAAAGGGCATGTAATGGAAAAATCTGTGGGCACCTATAAATGGTATTTTTCTTCCCCTAGAGTTTTGTTGGATTTTCAGGTATTTGTATGTAGTCTGTGTCCAAACTGATCTAACTAAAATTCAGTAAAGGGTGGGGATATGTATGGTTGCTTTCGGTTACTCTGAATGCATTTTTCTAGAATAGCTAGAGAAAAGGTGAAAGGTGACCTTTTTTGAGGGCTAAAATGATCCTCCAGAAATCTGTTATTACATTGAAAACATGTAAGAATGACAGATTTTCACCCATTTACAGCTCACTTGATTTTGTGATGTAGCCTGCCAAATGTTTTCCTTCCTATGTTTGCACCCTTCTCTATTGAACCTGGTCACTTTTTGAAGATTTATGGAGAAATATTACCTTGTTCTCATCTCAGTGATACCATGAGGTTTTCCACATTATTGGATTACTGGAGGATTGTGGCAGACCCCTTTTTATCTGACATTCATTGCATGACAAGATTTTCACACATGCCCTTCCCCCACCTATGCCCAGCTTTTTTCACTTTGTGTTACCTATCAAATTTCTTTTAATTCTATTCTTGGGGTTGGAACATTGGTGTGTATATGTTTGGGTGGGGTAGAGGGAGAGGGGGTGGTGCTCCGCTACACACAAAACCGTTTTTTGGCCAAGTGATTTGCAGGGGAGTGCCTGATTAAACAATGCTTCTCTTCATTTTCTAAAGGGCCTCTTAAAATTTGGCTCCCCTAAAAGGCAGGGGCTAGTTCTCTTGCTATTCTGTTTTTAGCCTTACCCTCTACCCTCATTTTATTCCTTTCTACGGAGACCCCATGCAGAAGCTATTTTATAATCTAAAGTTTCACAGCAGCTAGGGCTACAGTGTACACTATTGAACAGTTGTATAGTTTATTGGCTGCTTCATTCTGAACTCACTCTTCATACTGTAGTGAGAGCTTCTTAACCAAGCTTCAGTGCCTTGAAACACAGCATAACCAAATACTTCCCCTCCCCCCAATAAAATAACATCCTTTGCTGCATTATCTGCACTCCATTAAGGATCTGATCAGATGTTCACATTGTCTGATGGGTGTATTTAAAAGTGAAAAGGGGCTCCCAAGGGACTACTCAGGTGTATCTCCTTCCTGACCCTGCTGGGGAGGTGGATGAACTCTGGACTGAGGGACGAGCATTAGCCCTTGCTTGTTCTCTGATTGATTCTCTGGCAATGGGTGGGTGAAGAGCCACGAGGCAGCTCAAGCCGAGATTGATTGCCTCAATTTCAGATTCCCACCTCCAAAACAGACTCTCAGATGCACACATAAAGAGCTCCCTCCCCCAGCACAATTTCTGGAGGTGGAGCAGGTCTCTAAGAGTCACCTGTAGCTACCAATCACAAGTGGTCCTACTTATCACAATGATGCTGGCTGCAGGAGTCTTCAGCTGGGACACATTTAAGTTCAGGGACAGGAGCTATTCTATATCTCTGCATGTGTGAGTGTGCAGGGGCTGGAATTTAGGAGTATTGGGGTCAGCAAAGAAAGGGACAAGAACTGCGACTTGAGATTGCTCTGGAGGGCCGCTTAACTGCATCTTAGACTCAGTAGGTTTGTTTTGCAAATTGTGGCTATTTAGATGGAGGTGAGATGGTGACTGTCTCCCTTGGCTCTGCCGAAAGAGAGCTCTTGATCCTCCTCTGACCTTGACAGAATCTCTAATGTGTTTTCAGCCTAGCCCTGGAGCACGGAAATACAGTTTGCTGGATTCCTCCCTTTTTTGGGTGGTAGGGGCAGATTTGGGCTTACAGGCGACTCCTAGCCTGCCTCTCATTCCCAGACAGCCTTAAGGTAGCTCTCCCCCACTTTCTGGCCCCATCCTGGGGTCTGAGCCCCCGCCCCCTCCGTCCCTTTCCATTCTTTACCTCCTGCCTGTGTCTCTCCTTCCCTCCTGCCTGTGTCTCTTTCCCTCTCTCTCTCTCCCACTTTTCCTCCCTCTCCCGCTCCGTCTCACACGCACCCTCTGTTTATTTTCCTGCCTCCATCTGGGCCCTGCTGATATTGTAATCACCCTGATGCACGTTGGCTTCTCTCCTCTCCCTCCTGCGCTCACACACTCACTCACACACAATGTGCCATCCTGACAAGCCTTTTACTTCTGATAAGCTCCAATGTGTGTTTAATGAATACAAAGCCGCGGTCTGGGTGCCGCCTCGGCCGCGGCCGCTCTCCCGCGCTCCTTTGCCAGAAGGTAATCTCCGTGAACAGGGGAGGGAGGCGAGCAGGGAGGAAGGAGGGGTGGCCAGGAGGAAGGGGGGCGTGGGGAGGCGGCTTTTCTCTCTCCCTCTCTCCCTTTCCAAATGATTCAGAAGTCGATAAGACCAGGAGAAGTGAAGATGTAACATGTTATCTGTCGCTCCTCTTAGCTGGCGGAGAGAATTTACATTTAAAGATTAGCAGAGTGAGAAAGAGAAATCTGCCTTTTGTTGTGCGGGGTGAGGAGGAGGCATCTACCCTGGCCTTGACGCTATCTCCCATCACCTCTGCTATCCAGGCAGGACTCACCGAGGTGAGAATACCGGAGGGCCTTATCTTTAATTGGGTTTAGTTTTGCCAGTCTGAATAGGTTTAAAGAGACTTGATAAAGGGGGAACAATAGATTATTTATTGACTGGATGATGAAGCCTTTAGATGAAGAAGGGAGAGACAAAGCTGCTTAACAACTTGATTAGTTCATTTTTATTTTAAGGTGAGACTACCTCTCTTTTGGTGGAAGGAAGGACTAGAGAACTTCGGTGCAATTTGGATGACTTATGATGTCTTTTTTCCTCTCCCCCAACAACTCCTTACCCTTCTTAGCACCATGCACCTACCTGATTTTAACAGGAGTTTTTTACCCCTTGCCTTTAGGAGTGATGAACTGAGCAAAGAGGGTAAAGGCTTTGGGATTGATCATTAATGTTTGGTTTTGTGTGACTTGTTATAAATGCATGATGAATTGATGCTAACAGTACTTGATTGAGTAATGTGAGCAAATGAAGCCTACTTTTTATATGGAATTAATTTTATAGTATGGCTCAACTCAGGCTAGAGGAGAAAAAAAAATCACTCCAAGTCTGTTAGGTAGATTTGTATTTTGGATTTGAACCATGAAATCCTTTGCTTGGAGCTAGTTTAAAAAAAAGAAGAAAAAATGTCTTATTGACTCACAAGTATTTGAAAACATTATAATATCAACTTTAGAAGGTTCTTAAAATGAAGAAAAGTAGAAAAAATGGTTGTTTTGCCTCCTACAGATTGTCAAGATAGGTGTTTTCATAGATAGATAGATATGATCCAATAACTAAAAGCCTAATTAAAATTTGTTTAAAGCCAGGGGGGCATGTTTCCTTGTTGACAGCAGCAGATCGATTGGGTAAGACAATAGAGTCCCATTATTTTACTTCCATTGACTGAACATATTGACATTTCAGGTTTGCTGTTGCCTCAGTGAGCATGATGAAACACTGAAATTCACAGACCAACTGGCCAGAGTGGCACATATATTACTGTATGTCATTTCTGCCTTCAGGTTACCTTATCACCCAGACAGAATGGGAAAGGACAACCTGGAGTCTTTCAGAAAGGGTAGAGCTCTTTTGGCTGAGAAACTAGCAGATAGCATGTATTAGGAACATCTTTAATTTTATCAAGAATTGGGTGTTACAGAGAACTACGTGGAGCATGGTTAAAAATCTGAAAAGCTAGCCATCGATCTTGCATATTTTACATAGAAGGATGCCCACTTTCAAGATTTACCTTTACCTGGAGTTATTTACAGTGAGTGGTCGGTCACTATTTAGATGACCAGTTTGTTGCATGGGTGACATTCTTTCTTTCCCTGTCTGGGGTACTGAAAGGGCCAGGCACCTGCTAAATCTGTATCTGATAAGATAATGGGTAAGGTCCCTTCAAAAATAGGGTCTGACTCTGACTTTTTGTTTCCAGTTTTTTTTAGTGGGTGGAATACAAAGTGAGATATATGTATTTTACACTCATGTGCATGCATAGACAATAACTTACATAGATAAATATGTGTATTTCAAGCAGAGGCAGAGAAATAGTATTTGTTATCTTGGTGTAATTTACCCTTTCACACATTTTGCATAGTCTTTAAATAGCAGAACTAGGCAGACATTGAGTCAAAGAAATTTGAACAATACGGAAAGTGAATATGGAAAAAAAGAAAAAACCAGAAGGGACTTAACATATTTTTATGTTAAAGAAATTTATGAAGATATAAATCTATTATGCCTATGACTTATACATGGCAATTGTTGCCATCAAGTAGGCAACTGATGCCCTTTACAGTGTTTAGAACAAAACTGGTCCTTTATACCATTTTCATGAAAATGTTAGGTTTCTATTTGATCAGCAGGTGCTGTTGAGATGAAAGCCATGTGTAAATTTTCAGAAGGCCAAAAGTGTCAATTCAGAAAAGGAAAGTGATAAGAGAAAATGCAATCAGTTTTCCTGTTTTCAATTTGTGCAGGATTTGAAGAGCTGTTTTGTTAAACTGCTACATCTGCTCCAATATGAATATTGAACTACTTCCACTAAAAATAACAACCTATAATTTGGAAGCTACTGCAGTCTTTTGTTAATGTGAGTGGGTTATTTAAAAACAAAAAAACAAAAAAATAAAAAAAAATTAAAAAAATTTTCTATTCTGACAATCTCTTGCCTAATGTGCATTTTCATTTGTTGGCACTTCTATCCTCAGCAGATGAATGGTAGTATGCAATTAAGACCTCGTCTTGTTTGACTATAAAAGAGATTTCCATAGGTGAAAATCCTGGTAATATAAAAAGAGTTCACACAGAACAAAATGTATTTTAAAATAACCTGTTTAAATACATATATTTAATATCAGATAGTTATTCCTTACATTCTCTAATACTACAATTTTTAACTTACTGCCGGACTGTTGTAACAAAGTTAACACTGTTCCTTGCATACTGAGCATTCTGGGATTTATTTCACCTTTCATATACCTGCAAATGTAAGTTTAAACTAATCAAGGATATTTTACCAACAGGGCTTTTAGAATAATCTTTTCCATGCTTAAATAAAATTATTAAATTATGCTTGAGTGCTTGCATACAAAAGCTTTAGCTTCTATAGTACTGCTAATCAAATAAGTTTTATGGACAGGGAAAGCACCACATAGAGAAAAATTGGATGCATTTTGCTAGTGGCATTTCTAGGAAAGACATGTTCTTTTAAAATGGTTGAATTTTAATTAAAAAGGAAACTCTTAACATATCTTAAATACTCATAATAAAAATAATACTGCATCCTTATAACAGGAAAGTGAATGGCAATGCTATCCATGTAAAATATGGGCAGAGAGAATTAAAGTAGAAGGAAGACTGGTGACATTTGGATACGGTTCAATATTGACTCAACCCTGGATTGCAGTTTGGTGGACTTGTGGCTGTAGTAATTTGTCTGGGGTGAGACCTGATCACTGCTGAGGATCAATTAGCTAAGTTTGTGGCTTCACATGAGAATTACTAGACACACTCGTCACAGATAAACCTTTCAAAATATTTCAAGAATGGATAAAGGGAAAGGCAGGCACAGTGACACCTTAGCATGTTTGATATTAACAAGTACTATGTTTCTTTAAAAACACCAACTCAAAAGAAGAGGTACTTTGAAGAAGACTATTGAATGTGAGTATTTGCCATTGCATGTATGGAACCAACCAAAGAAGAATGCTTTTAAGGAATGGAATTTCCAGTTTCAAGCCCAAAGAACAGTTTAGTATGGCATGTTATGCTGGCATATCTTAGAGCTGGGCATCATGCGGCTGTTTCCCCTAATATAGTGCCGGACTCTCTCACTTTTAAGAAAAGATGCTGAATCACATATCAGTGTACAAAAAGTTTATTCACAGACATGATCCCATCACTTGGGATGTGATTGTCTAATGAGAGTTGTTTTTGAAGCCACAGGACCTTAAGTGACACCAACAGGGGAGATTCCTGTGCGTCTTTTCAAAATGTTCATACTTGATGAAATCATGTCCAGGCTCTTACATCAGAACTACTGGTAAAGTAAAGCCCCGTGGTTGATGTTTAAAGTGTGAGACCCGCTTGTTCAAAAAAGTTTGTCTACAACTACTAATGTTTTCAAGGACCAAGAGATACCAACTTAAAATAGTCTGCTTTAATAGTTCTAATTGTGATTGCCTTTATAAAATAATGTGTGAAGGAATAAAGCAGGCATTTGTTTTGGTAGGTTTCATATTGATCAAGGCCTCTAAAGCAAATCACTGTTTGGATGAATAGGATCTTTAGAATATAGAGTTTGTAGAAGAGGAATGCAGAGAGCACAAATGTGAAGTTTTCCCCTTGTGTCTTCCCCAAGGCACCTCTAAGTACCTTGGGGAATGTGATTGACTGGGTTCATCAATCTTTTAACACCTGGGGCACAGACCACTTCTAAGTGTGCTCAGGGCTGCCACTTAGTTGTTGGTCTTGGGAGAGAAGAGAAGAATTGATAAATACTGGAGACCTACTATGAGCCTGGCCTTAACCAACCTTCACATACATTCTCATCACTGATTTTAAGTATATGATTAACTAGTGTTTCACTTTCTTTCTTTCAAATAACTCCAGCCCGTTGCTCTGAGACTCTGGCCATAGTTGCTCTTCTGGCTTGATCTTTTGCCCCAATTTAGAAAATTGAGGTTTCTTTGTATTCCCCAAATGAATGACCTACTTTGTGCCTGAGTTTTAGTAATTATTTAGAACCTTATTCTCGGAATAATTGGCTGCATATTCTCCTTATTGGCCATATCTACCCATCCACTATTTTCTTTCAGTTTCCCTTTCTTCCACCCCACTTAGGAATCAGAGTTGGCTTCTACCTGACATAACATTGGATACTCTCAAGTGTGTGCCAGTCGGTATTCCTCAAAACCACCTAATCCTGGCTTCTCTATTGCCACATTCTGTTCCTGCATCAGAATACCTTCATCCTATGCTGCACTGAGGCCATGAGGAATCAACCTATTATTTCTGTTGTTGTTATTGAACTTACCCAGTATGCTGGCATGATTTTCTGCCTAGTCCTTAGTTCTTGAGTCTTGTTCCTTCCTACATGGTCACTCCATTATATCTTGATCTCAGCATTTCCCAGTTGACCAGGTTCAACTTCCTGGTTACCTCTTTAGATAAGGGTAGAGGACTTGTACACCACCTTTTACTCCTGGAAAAAAAAAAAAAAAGAGTTTGTAATTAGTTTTGTAGTGTAAAACTTTCTTTGTGTTAGGAAAAAAAAAAGGGACCTCTTGTCTATGTGCAGTCACTTGACTAATAGGCAAACAGGTTCCCTTTCTAGTTAAATCTCTGACTTGTTGGGTAGCCTGGCGTGCATTCCAGCCCTCAGGCACATTTCTCAGAAGACAAAGGGCAGACTTAGTTATTCTTAGGCTTCTCAACTCTCATGAACAAGTCTATGTGTGATACTGAAAGTAGGCTTTGAGGCTTTCCCATGGTTAGGAAAGTGAAAAAAATATCT